TTTTTTTTTTTATTTTGACTGGAACAAACCAACTAAAAATGACATCTTGAACTCAACCAGGAAAATTTGAATATGTACACTAAATATTAGATGATATGAATTATTGTTAATTTTGTTAGATATGATTATAGTGGTTAAATTTTTAAAATCTGAATCAGTTTTTAGATGCAGATTAAGGGTAAAATAAGTCTGGGATTTCTTTCTAAAGGTGGGGGAGGGAAACTAGATTGGCAAAATGTTGATAAATGTTGATTCTTAGTGACAGGTACTGAGGGTTCACTGTTAAAACTGGAAACACTTTTGCCTGTGTTTAAAATTTTCCATCATCGTTTTTAAAAGCAGATCCAGTGCCTACCCCAGGTCATCTTTAGTCGATCTAATGGCCAGAGCTCAGAAAGGGGCAGCAGTCTGAAGATCCACCTAACCCACCCTAAACTCTGATGCGTGTGGAGCCAGAGCTCACAGCGCGCAAGGCTCAACATTTATAAACTTGGATTTCTCAGCTCTCAGGACAAGCCCCGTGGAAAGGGGTTTTCCGGGAAAAAAGAAAGAAAGAAAGAAAAAAAAAGCACCCAACTATTCTAGAATCCCAGGGATTTCCGAAAGGAGATACAGGGTGTAAATGGCAAATCGCTGCTGGATGACTTCAGAGTAGCCGTTTCCCCAGCGTGACGGTTCGTGGGCGGCTGAAGGGTCGGGGTCGGCCTCCGAAGGGCAGTGGGAAGCGAGCCCTGCGTCCCCCACTCGGGCCCCTGCCCTCGCGCCAGCCTCCCTTTCCCCCTTTCGCTTCTCCTCCCTGCCTGCTCCCGCCCCTCTCGCCCCGCCCCGCCTCCCCGCGCCCGCGAGGGTTGCCATAGCTACGGAGCACCGAGCGGCGAGGCCTCCCCAGCTGGTCCCCGGCGGGCGGGAGGAGAGAGCCGGCACGATGAGCCACGTAGTGACCATCGAGGAGCCCCAGGCCAAGCCGCTGGTGTCTCAACTCCAGTACCCGGAGAAGTCGAAGGCCGGGGGCAATGCCTCCGCCAGCCGAGCGTACGATTTCCTGTATGGTAAGGGCCGCCCCAGACCTCCCTGCAGGGCTGTCGACTCCTCTGCCAGGAAGGCTTCCAGGTGGGACCTGGCCAGGGGCGTGGCGAACGAGAGGGGAGCCTCTGGACTGGTCGTTGCCCGCTTCTGTCCTTTTTTGGGTGAGGGCAGCTCCGAGCCCTCCAGGTGGCTGCGCGCTGGGGGTGGGGTGAGGTGAGGGGTACATCGGCAGTCGCAGGTACGCTCCGCGTCTTCTAGGGGGCGGGTCCGCCTCAGTCCTCTTTTCCAGATAATTTGCTCAGCCCGGAGCGATCTTCCTGAAACCTATTCTGGGCGTTTTGGTATCCAGAAAAGTATGGAATGATTTGCAGAGTTGGAGATTCACTCAAGGTTCCCACGTTCAAACTGCATGAAATACCCAACTAAAATGATCTTTTCTCTTCTATTCTCTGGGCAACTCCAAATTTGGCATTCTAGGTAAGGAAATGCCAGTTTATCTAACTTATTCTTATCCGTCAAAGCATTGTTTATAAAGCAGGTCCGCTGGTTCCTCTTGGGCCAATAAAGCCCCAGTTTATTTTAACGTCCTGCTTGTCCGTTTATGTTCTCTGTCTTCTGGACTTGAAGTTCCTTGAGTTCCTGTTTTGCACATTTTTATAGCCTTCTCAGCACCTATGCTACTGCTGGTACATACGCTAGGTGCTTCATAAATGTTTATTGAATTTACTGTTACAAAAATTGTAACCAGCTAAGCATGATTTCTTTCCAATTTTGCACTCTTTAGTCCCGAGCTCTTCACTGGAACCTTGTTGTCTTTTGGAATCTCAGAGTCTCCCTTGGAAGGGAGTCTATAGGATACCCATTTCCTGGACAGAGGCTGTGTGGTGATTGCTTACATATTCTGGCCAGTGGTTTTCTTTATTTAATCTTGGCTTTATGAAATAAATCTAGTAAACTGCTATAAACACATCACAATATTTTTTTCAAAGGTAATTTGGGAACGGGAATAAAAATCTCCAGTAAAGACAGGCAAAGGTTTTATTAAGCCAGTTGTTTCTTTGATCCCTCAGTGTCTCTTTTGCAGAGGAATTGCTAAATGTTTCCATGTCCATTGCAAAGAACAGAAATCCACCCAGAATAAGTCAAATGAAAGTTTGGATGGGACGGTAAAATGGGCAGTCTCACAGCTCATCATAGACAGGAAGCAGAGTATAGTCAGGACAGACTAGAGCCTGGACAGGGAAGGTTGGAACTAAGCTGCCCTGCTCTCCTGCTCACATTCTTGAACCTTGTGATCTTCCACCCTGTTGGAGTTGCCAGATTTAGCAAATAAAAATATAAGATGTACAGTGAAACTTGAATTTAAGATAAATAATGAATAATAGTATATGTATGTGTT